TACAAACCCCAAGCCACCCCCCTACTGCAGCAGGAGTTTCCGGTTATGCCTGTAAGTAATGGCCCTGGTCGGAGAGAAAAGGCGTGGGGGTTAGAGAGAGGACTGCAGGCCCCTCTATGTCAACTGATGCCCCCCCAGCACCCCTCCCCCCAAAAAAACCTTCCTGCCAATCATCGGCCTTATTTGACTTAGCCAATGACGTCTGGGTCTCTGGGCAGATTTGCAGGGTGCTCAGCCAATCAGTGTTGGCTCATGAGGAGCGAACGGTTGGGACTGGGACTGAGGGTACCATGTGGACACAGAGTGGAAGAAGATGGGGAGACGGGGAGAGACACGGGCACAGGGAGAGAGACTCACAGAGAAGGGGAGACAGAGAGAAATGAGGGAGGGAGAGAAGCAGGTGTCGTAGGTGGAACTGTGTTCCCCCCAAAGATACGCCCGAGCCCTAACCCCTCCCACCCCTCACCCCCATGTTCATGCATGTGACCTTTTCGGAAATAAGGGTCTTTGCAGATGTAATTACGTTAAGGTCACATGAGAGCATTCTGGGTGTAGGCTGGGCCCTCCGTTCAAAGGCTGGTGTTCTTATGAGAGAAAGCCAAACACACAAACAACACAACACAACACAACACAACACGGAGATCTGAGACCCCGGCAGAGGGAACAGCCAAGTGAAGGCCGAGGCAGAGATGGGAGGAAAGCCGAGAGCCAAGATGCCAGCAGCCACCAAAGGTAGGAGGCAGGGGGGACCTCCACAAGGGACCCCCCCCACACCTGCCAACCCCTTGATTGGGGGCTTCTGACTGGAGTTCTAAGAGAACTAAGGGTCCTTAGTTCTAAGAGTTCTAAGGGTCCCGGGTTCGATTCTGGACAAGGGCACATGTCCGGGTTGTGGGCTCAATCCCCAGTGGGGGGCGTGCAGGAGGCAGCCACTCAACAAACTACCTCTGTAGCCTTAAGCCACCCAGGATGTGGTCTTTAGTTACAGCCGCAACGGGAAGCGAATACACAGGGAGACAGTGGGGAGAGACAGGGAGACGGAAGCGGGGCAGGAGGCTGAGGGAGACGGAAAGGGAACTCAAGGCAGAGATGGGAGAGGGGTTCACAGCTGGGGGAATTGGTGGGGGGGAGCTGGGTGAAGGGCGGTAGAAAAGGAGGGAAGATGGGCGAGGAAAGGAGGCAGCAGCAGAGAGAGATTTGAAACAGCAGAGCTGGGCTGGCAGACCGGGAGGGATCTGCGGGCCACGCAAGGCGGAAGTCGGAAACGGACCCGGAGCCAGGAGAGACCTGCAGAGACGGGCAGAGAGGAACAGAGACACAGACCCAACTCAGGACCAGGGGAGAAAGGAGGGAGGGCAGGCCTGGGCCTGGGACAGAGGAGGGGCTCCGAAAGCCCAGGGCAAGAGGCAGAGACAGAGAGAGTCTCACAGAGGGAGAGAGAGAAGGGGACACCAGAGCTCGCTCGCATTACAGCGGGCATTCATGTGCTCAGTGCCAATTCAACACTCACCCCAACTCCCGAGAGGGAGGCACTGGGAGTGTCTAAAATTGAGCATGGCCCTAGCCAGTTTGGCTCAGTGGATAGAGCATCGGCCTGTGGACTGAAGGGTCCCGAGTTCGGTTCCAGTCAAGGGCATGGAAAGGTGTCCACAATGCACAAGTTTTGTTTTGTTTTTCAGGGGGAAGTTACTCATTATGGCATGATTCCATTTGTGTGCTTGCATATGTACATACAGAAAACTTCTGAAAGGGTGCAAAAGAAACACTTAGCAGTGGGTAACTCTGGGGATTAGATTGGGTGAAAGTGCAAAAAAGAGAAGGGAGATTTTTACTTTTCATTTATGTGCTTCTGAATTATTT